TAATATATATATATGATGTTCTCTTGAGAGAAAAAAATTTTTCTGCTGAATAAATTGCATTGCTGAGCGACCTTCACGCATTTCTTGAAACAGACAAATTCACGGGCGGCGCAATTCTTTTAATAATTCTAAAATTTGCTGTCTGTTCAATATTTCTCATCCTCTCAAACTATCAAGAAGCTGACAAATTGTGAAAAATTTTCGCGCAGCATATGGTAGATATATTCATAATAAATGGAAAATTTTGCTTGATTTTCTTTGCTTGAATTTTCTAAATTTTCAACTGTTATTGCAATGGAACTTTTGCAGAAAATAATATTGTTATTATTGAATTCACATATTCTAATAAATCGATCATAAACAAAATGTAAAACTTTAAGAATGAACAGAGTTAGCTGTTTTGAAATTATGAAAATAATAAAAATCAAATAATATTTTCTTAATGGTATAAGCACAATTATGTTTTTCATGTAGCCAAGATTTTCAAATTTTATTTCTTGTTTAATATCATTTCAATCTTTCAATTTCTTTAGTTTCGTGATTTACTTTGATCACATTATAAACACAATTTATCCAATCAATTTTAAGTATAAATTGATAAGAACATATTCATATTATATTTCAGAATTGAACTATTTACTTCTTAAAAAAAGATATAATTTATCACTTTTAAAACAAAAAAATTATCTTACTGTAAATTGAATCATTTATTATCTAAAGAAAAATTTCTAAAAAAAACCAACACGAAAACGAAAAAGTCGAAAGGATTGATCTGATGAAGGAAGGAAGAGAAAAGTTAAAATTAAAGATTATCATTTTTTGAAAATCCTTAAAAAAGTTAACAAAGATTTAAAATGAAAAAAGCATCTTCGTTCCCGCAAAGTAAAAGATTTGGAAAAATTTTTAGGTCAAATTATAAGGAGTTGTAGAATTTTGACATCAAATGACTTCGTAAATTTTTTGCACAGTTGCAATTTTACGCTAATTTTGCATAATTTTCAACACTCTAAAAATAAACAGTGTTTGAAAATATTCATGTAATAACTAATTAAAATTGATTTTCTCATAAAAGCTAAATTTTATATTAATGCTCTTGAAGAATACCTCATAGATAAGCTAACTTTATCAATCTTTTTTAAAACGTTAAATTTCTGCTCTGCAATTATGATGAAACCATTTATTTAAATGATAAGAATTATCAAAAGAGAAAAATATAAGCAAAAATTGGTCAAAAACTGTTATTGAATAATAAATTGATCCATTATCTCATAATTCTTTTTCCTGTTATTACCCATTCAACTTTTCATTTTCTTCGTTAATTTTCCATTTCTTTCCGTTTCTTTCATCATTTTACACCAAATTCGATTTTCGCCCATTTGTTTTAATATTTTGCTAATTTAATCGCTAGCGATTCATACTGTTCATTGCATTGATTTAAATTACTTAAATTTTGGAGTACAAACAGGATAGAAAAATTTCTTCTCAAATTCAATTCCAACCATCGCTATTTCGACATTCTTATTTCTTCCTGATTTTCACTTAAAGTTTAATGAAATGAAAAATCAGTGAAATTTAAAAGATAAACTAAATAAAACACAACATAACAACAGTAATAGCAATTATCAATAAATGTAATTTATTGGTTATCATTCATAGCAGATAAGATATCAAATGAGAAGTTGAACTATCATATATTGTTTAGATCAGTAGTTTGACACGTTTCTTATGCTTGCTGTAATTAACGCTCTTGTCAAAATCTCACGGGTACTGAATATCTGAATAAATTAAGCATTATACAAAAAATTTAACGTTTATTTAACATTATCTTTTAGAAGAAAAAATAATTTTTCTTGAATATGACATTAATCATTTGTTGCGCTTTATAGCCAACCGTCTGGCGGATTCCATCCATACATTGTAATCGTTCGATTTGTTAATTTTATAAATTCTTTTTGGCAATCGATTTTTGTTTTGCCTGCAAAATATATTCAAACTTAAAAAGAATAGAATAAATATAAAAAGATCATTTGATTTTTTTTTCAAAATTTACTGATAAGAAAATAAATTAAACTGAATTAAAAAATTTTTTAAGCTGAAAACGAGCTTTTTTCCCAGATAATTTAAAAACTTTTATCAGTTCTACATTCCTGACGAAGATTTCCTTATCCTGATAACAAATACTGATAAATTAGAAATAAGAGGAAAATCTGAATAGATGAAGAATCGAGAAAGAAGTCAAGTAATCTAATCACCAAACTAAATATAGCAGTAATAAGACATCCTTTCCGGAAAGAGAGTAGGAATGGATATAGTTAATTAATAAAAGAAAAGTAGTATATTTACAAAATCCATGGATTTAAAAAGAATTAATTTTAAAAACAGTAAAATAGTAACCTTTAAGTTTTTCCCATTCTTTTGCGCATTTCAAACGTTTGTTTCCATCTGAAAATATGCTTACATATATTACTGTGCAGTTACTATCAGCCTCATTTAAACCTGAATCCTTCTAGTTTAATAAATCGAACACTGAAGTTTGATTAAACAACATATGTTTTATATCATTAAGCTGTTCTTGTTATAATTTTTCATGAACCGATATAATCAGATTAATATTGGTTCAATTCTGAATAATTCTCATTGTTTTAGCTGTTTAGAATATTTTATCTTATTTTACTTTAAGTGCTGATTGTTACTTTACAATATTTCGTGAAAAAAAATCTTTTTGAATTTATAAATTCTTCAAAAGAAAGAAGAACATACAAAGTAGCCCACTTTTTTGATTTAAAACTTTTGTATTTTCATCACTGCACACTGTCAAAACTATTTCAAATTCTCGTATCGCAATAGGAATTTTCAACAATTATTTAAAAATCTGATTTTTCGTGTAACCCAATAATTTCTAAATGACCTACCGTAATCGCCTACAGTAATCTGCATGTAGAGTGCATTCATCTGCTGCAGAATTTGTTCGGGCACATCAAAATGACCGTGTTTTCCTTTATAACCAGCTCGACACATTTTATAAATTGCATTTGCAAAATCCTAGAAGTCAAATATAAAAATATTTAAGATACATTCTTAGTCTATTCTTCGAAACCACTTTTTGCTTTTGCAGACACACAGGAAATTAGAGCATTCTTACGATCCAAGGAGAAAAAAAATGGTATGTTACCGTACTCCATCACAGTATTTATTAAAATTTATACAAAATGGAAATATTTAGGGCAATATCTCTTTATAATACACTATTCTTATACTTCGTTTTACCAATGAATGATATTAAACTTCAACTGGCTGATATTATCTTTACTAATTCAATTCGGAAAAGATGAATACATGAAAAAGAAGCAGGAAACTTCATTTTGAAGATTTCAGGATTAATTAAATTATGTAAAAGAAGGGAGAAAAAAACCGCAAACTATCAATCATTCCCAAAAAGAAATTCACAAACTGCAAAGGAAGTCACAATTCATAGTTACGTACTTTTTTCATTCTTTAAAAAAAAAAGAAACATAATGGGACAGCTTTTTTTCCTACGTGACGATTTATTGCATTTCATTTTGAAAAACCAATCGTTTTTCATGGCACAGAAATTTTTTCTATTCTTTTTTTCGTAAATTTTTCACTCAATTCGTTTTTGTCAATTCTTAATTGAAATAAAGTGAAGAAAATGAAAGAGTATGCAAAGGAGTGTTCGGAAGAAAGTTTTTGATCTCGTTTTTTTCGCTAATAATGATTTTTTCCTTGCATGTAACACTCGTTTCTTTGATGAAAAAAATCGTTTGAACAAAAAAAAGAAAAATGGAACTAATCGAGTAATTGTAAAAGTTTAGTAAATATTAAAAGTAACTTTACTATATTCTGATAAATTCTCTATAATAAATAAATTTAAATTATTTATAATAATCTAATGAAATAGTAGTAAGATTCAGTATTACGATGATTTTAAAAATACTGGAGGGACAAAAAGATATTTACTTGAAAATGCATAAGGAAAATTGAGAGGATATGGTTGTGAATTATAATATTTCAAAAGATAATTAGCAATTTTTTTTTCAGAAATAAAAACGTTTGCATCATTAAATTACTATTAAACATTAGCATACTGTATAAATTTAGAAATTATGCTAAAGGTTTTAGTCTGAATTAGCACAGTTTGAAATGGAATGAAAATGTTACTTTATCTCTCCATAAATCTTTATCTTCCTGATGTCTTCTTTTCCAATATGCCTGAAATTGTTTCGCTTCTTCTTCCGCTTCCTTTTGTTCACGTAAAAATGTCAACCATCTAAATGAAAATAATATTATTTCATATAACGAATTTATTTATTAAAATAATAAAATTGATAGATTTCATTTCTGCTATTCAATCCTATCTGAGATCAGAACAGCGTGTGCACAAAGAACAAGAACAAGAACGTCCAAAAAACCATCAAAACATGTCTCCTGTTTACCGGGCTCATTTTTTGATCTTTTTAGCCTCTTCTCAACAACTATATTAAATGGTATTAATATTGGAATTAGAATTTAAGTAAAAGCATAAATCATAATAAGAGCATTTTAAAACGTCTTTTTTGTGATGTTTTATGCAAAATTTATGCGTACACATAACATAAACAATCATTATTCGAATGAGAAGTAGGACAAAATAAGCTTGAATTACGTCAACATTGGATAATATTTAATTAATATTGAACTACCTAAATTTTCATCTAGCAGATTATTAGTGACTGAAGCTAGCTATTAAAATTGAAATATTCTAGCTATAAAAAAAATTGTTTGCAGAAAGTGATGATTTTGCTTACAGTATTAATTATGTTACATTTATTTGAAAAATTTCATAATACATGCAACTTTGTAAAATAACCTCAAACGAGCTTCATTATCTTTCTTGTTCCGACGGACAATCAATTTTTCAAGTTGTTTCATAACAAATTCATCGTCGACTTCATTTGACAGTTCTTTCTCTGATTTTTTATCATCAGAAAACTCAGTATCATCCGTAAAATCGTCATTTACCAAACCAGGAATTTCGTCAATCGCACGATCTATTGGCGCTTGTTTGTTAGCATTGTGCTCACTGATTATTGAACTGGTCCGGGAATTAGCGGAATAAATGTTGGATGATGCAAAGCTCAACTCCAAATCTGATCCAGGCGGTGACAATTCGCTTCGGTTATATTCCTCGGTAACATTTAGCTCGGCTTCACCATCTATTTCATCCGAAGAACCTTCACTGGACATCTTTGGGATGGAACGTTCACTACCATTCGATGTCCAATGGTTATTGAAGTAATCACTTTCATCACAATCACTTGTATAACTCATGAGTTTTCAGTTTTCAGAATTGAGAATCGTGACAATCTCCCACTAAAATCGTGGATTTTCAATAAAAAGATTTTTTTTACAGCAGACCAGCATCACCTTAACTACTCTTTGAAAAATCCATTGATGATCTAACTTATAAGATGTCAGTATTATATCCCCTCCCACACTGATCTTTGTAACTGAACCGTTTTTTATCGCTTGTCTTCCTTCTCTGAAAACGTGAAGTAGTTCTTAAACAATAACATATTTATACATGAACCTTAAAAAAAATGAACAATCTTAAACAATATGGAAATCCAGATTGAATGAGAATAAACTGATTGAAATCGTATGGGACAAAATCTCTAAGAGAATTGAAACTAATAATGTGCATTCCACTTCATAAAAGCAGGAAATTAGCAAACATCAGTTTCCAAGCCCAAGTTTTTTTCACACTACCCTGTCATTTATCATTTAAACTGCTTGCCTAATAAGCTCATATTATCATAAGTCCCCCTGGATAACACTGCACTCAATTTCGTATATAAACTTGATCTCTGACATTAAAAATGCTATAGAAGTAAATTAAGATCAACTAATAGTAAAAATCTAACTAAATTTTATGCTATCCACATTGAGAATTCGAAATACATGTTGATTCTTAAACACATTTCCAGTGTAAATTATTTTGTCTTTGGTAATCTATACAAATGATAAATCATGGAAGACAAGCTTGATCCTCACCAAAATTAAAATTTCTCAAAAACTGAAATATTTTTTCTCATTCTCCTATTTATCAATGTGAAGGCGGAAATTTCCATATTAAACACTGAAAGCCCTACGGTGTATTAAAAAATACAATTTTAAAACTCGTATTGATCTAAAACAAGGTAACAATTAATAAAACGACAAACACTAAAATAATTAAAACTATACATAAAGGAAAACAATAAGATGGCACTGTTTTACTTGAAAAAAGTATTGATTTAGATGCCATTCATAATATCAGAGAGGATTTTCTTTCACTGACTGTGTCTCAAGCAATATTTCTGAAGCACTCGATAATTTTTTTAGCATCTCGATCTTAAAATAAATAACCATTGGCCATGCCTGCTGCCATAAAATTAATAATTGCCAATATTTTCAAAAATGACTCGAAAATATAAAAAAATTTAAAATATTTTTAATTTTGCTATTATTTTCTTGCAGTGTCACTGCACATTCCTATTCAAAATCTGTCTCGATCCCTCAATCATATACCTTTATTTTTCTTTGAAAATAATTTTATAACCTTAACAAAAATTACCTTTCCCAGCGCAGCATCCTTTGACGTTTCTCTCTTTCCTCTCCGTCTTGCAGTTCTTATTTCTCGAGCAGTAGCCTTTTGCAGATCGTGCACTTTCTCCTGAAAGGTAAAAAATTTCAATTTATGCATTTAGCGTAACTTCGCATACCAAGAAAAGTAGAAAATAAAAAACCAAAAATTTTAGAGAGAATTTCTAACGTTGTTTGATGAATCAATAAACCGCCGTAAAATGTTTCTTTTTTTATCAAATATACGAAGGAAATTATCTTTTGTGCCAAAAAAAGCATCGATATTAGCATTTTATAGTTGTCCACTTTCAGATTGAAAGAGACTTTTCTTCACAATAAAATAAGCACAATACCTTCTTTATCATATTTTTATAATCACATAATACAGTATAAGTAATAAATTACAAAAGCTACTATTTTCTTCGAAAACAATCAAAATCTAACCTTCAGTATAGGCAAGACATCTGGATCTGTCTTGAACAAAGTCATGAAGACACCACCTGGAGTACGTCGACGTGTACCGTCAGCAATCATCATACCACCAGATGCTTCTATTTCGCGTGTTGCTTCAAACAATTCTAAGGCTTTCTCTTCTCCTACTTCGAGTATTACGCTGTAATAACTTTCGATCAAAGATCAGCTTTTACTAAGAAGAAGCAAATGAAGGGGTGTAACGTACGTGAATAATGAATGATTTATAAATATTGGTTCACTTGTAAAAATTATTAAAAAGTAAAACAAGAAGTTAACGATATGGACCGGTAAACTAATCCTCTGAAGTATTTGTAGCTATCTCACGACATTTGCCAATAATAAGAAAAGAAGGTTGCTTATAAGAGAATCCTAGCAGCGTTTAATTATCAACCATTCGTTCCCTATACTTCCCAAATAATTAGAACTGATTCCAGATTAAAATTTAAATATAAATTCTCTCATGGAAAATTTTCAAGGCACTAGCCTCTGCAAAAACTTTCCATTCCGTTCGCCTAATGCCATAACAATACGCTCAGCCAATTCGTCAATACTAATATTATCCGGGAATTCCGTTGCTAACAGCGCCTCTAACGAATAATCATCACTCGGAAGTGAACTTGGATTTTTTCCACTTCTTCGGCGCTTCAAAGAATTATTCATGTTTCCAACGCGCCCGGCAATTCGATCACCACCCTCTGAAATTTTATAAAAAAACCAACTCACAGCTTCTTAAAGCGTACTTGCTTATAATACATGCCAGTTTATTCTAATTTCTATATAAGCGAAAAAAGTTCTAAGTTAATGCTAATTAGAAGATTTAACTGATAATAAATCTAAACTACAAAAGCAAAAAAAACTTCCCAACAGCAAGTAACACAATGTAATGGCACCTATCACCTCAAATTATGCACTTTTCAACTGGCATTATTGAAGATCTTCAGTTTAAATACATAAAGAAAACAAACTCTTATTTCGGATATAGTTATTTCGTCTTCGTTTTCTGCTCTCCCGTGAGATGCTTCGTGATGTGGAAGTAGAACGTCTCCATGATTCCCCGGTGTTTTTTTCTTGATTGCTGAAACTTCTTGGCCCTTGCCTGCTGCGACCTCTTGACTCATTACCACATCCATGTGGACATTTTTCGTACTGAAAGCACTATTAGTTTACTTACGTAACTAATTACATCTACTGACAACACCCATTTACGCTTCTCGTATTCAATGGCATGAAAATATGAAATATTGCTAACAATTTCATACAGACTACTAAAAAATATCGTACTCTGTCTGAAAACTTTTCGACTTTTCCTTCATCAGCAACAAAATCAAACGGTCCACTATCATCTGCAGCTGGTGAGATTGAATGATTCTACAACAGACGTTTGGTAATGAAATCACAAATGAAATGTTTCAATTTTTCCGGTCTTTAAATAGAATCAAATATGTCATCCTTTTCTGTAGAAATTTTATGCGATGTAAAATTAAAACTTCAAATACTTCTAGCTTCATCACATTTTGCCTCAAACTGCTTCAACATTATTTGATATTTTCATTTGTCAATGCATCCAATTTCAGCCCACTAAGTTAATTTATTTTCCCCATTCCAGCTATATTTACATTATTTTGCGATAAAACTCTTACTTTACCGTATAGGTGATACAGTTAAAATTAACCAAGAAATTTAGAAGCCACAAAAAAACGCCATTACCTTCTGGTATTCCGGTTCTTGTTCATTATTGGTGCATCGTGCATCAGGAAGAACATAACTTTCAACACCACGTTCCACCATATCATTCTCTCCTCGATACACTCCAACTTTATCCGAAAATGTTTCCGAGAGACTTTGTTCAGCTAATAAATCAGTCCACATTTGTGCGGCTTTGCTGAAAATGGGTGCCCCAGAAAAACTTTGAGACACTTTCACATGGACTAATCTCCACATCTGAATTCACTAAATCTTACCTTCCTGCTTTAGAGTTTTTCATCGTCTCATCGGTACTGTCCAACTTCTGTTCTTTGCGCAGGGAGGGGCCTTCATCATCACTCGATGACTCATCGTAATCTTTACTCACACGATACATATTCTGAAATATATTGCGATTGAACTCTAATGTCTACACCAAACGATGAAAATAACGTTTCTAAATTTTAAAAAATATGAGCGTTCGTCATAATATCAAGTATAAATATTTCATACTGAAAGATAGCAGCAATATCAATGAAATCAAACACCATTGAGACTTTATTACGAGGTGTATTACATATAATACAATAGTTGGACTACCAGCATTCCAATTTAACCAATCCACATCTATCTCGCCTTTTACGACACTCTCTGCTGAGCATTCAGATGCCATTTCGGATGCAAAAAACTGCAAAAATTTTGGCTCTAACTTCTAAAATTGCTGTTGCATCAAGTAATTATAAATATCGCAAATGGATTTAGATAATTTACAACGATAAAAGGGAAAATAATAATTACATTATACCAACAATCACTTCAATAGTTAAAAAGCTGATTCTTCAATTTTAAAAATTTTTTAAATATAGCACCATAAAAAAACAATATTGTGAAAATTTACCAAAGGAAGAAATTCATGAAATAAATAAAACTGACAATTGCGCAGATAAATATTTTTTACGACATAACAAAAAAAAGTAAATAATATGGTAAATATAAAAATTTTCATGAAATTTCCAACATGAAAATCCAGTACATTTATAAAAACGGGATTGAACAAAAATCACGCATAAAACAAGCAGTCTTTTCCCAAAATCTTATAAAGAGCTGGTAACTACACAATGCAACCTATGGCATAAAAAATGCTGAAAACTAGAAAAATGTATCTAAGAATATGAGTACATAGATGCCAAAGTTCACTGTAATACTACAAAAAATACAATTACTAACAAAATAATACAACCGCATTCAGTTTTAACTCAAATTAGAACATTCATTTAGCCTTTATTATGCATATTTCCCCAACCACGGCGATGATCTGAAACAAATTTTTTGTTGAAGTTATAATGAATTCAACTTTGTTTATGTAAATCCATTATTATATGCTCGATTGCAATCTGCATTTGTGTCTAGAAGATGAATCGCACCGCAGTGAAATATGAACCGAGATCTACCTCGCATCTTCCAAGTAACAAATCCAAAAGGTTTATCCTACTCACTAAAATGTAATACCACTTACAATCTTTATATTCATCCCATCTTTGAAGACAAGCCCGCTCCTGCTCCTCCTTTGTTCCTTCATCTAAAACAGTTGAATCGAGGTTGTTTTCAGATGAGCTTGGATTTATACCACCAAATCTGAAAAAATTTTCTAATCTGACGAGAATTTTATAAACTCTGCAAATGCATGACTGCTTAAAGGTAGATTCGAAATTTGATACTGCAACGATACTTTCCTTGATTTATACGCTTTGAAAAATCAGTATCAGAGGAAACAATAGGATGTCATTACCTTCCATTTTTCATCATATCATCATACCATTCGCCTACAGTCATCGTCGGCATGCTTGGATATCCCAGACCAAAAACTTTTTTTTGCACTTGATCTCGAGCTATTATGTATGGAGTTGGTGTAGACCGGTTCACTATAAATCCATCATAAATAAAACAATTATTTAATATACACAATTTTTGTTTAAGAGTTTTCTACTCTTCCATAGAGAGAGAGTTTTTTCTCCAATGCCCTAATTATCACCATTTGCAGAAAAGCTTCATTCTATTCAGCATTTTGGGACATGACAGAAAAAAGTCTCAAAAATCAATGTGTCAAATTATATCACCATATGAAATAGTAAACATCACGTATCTCATTTAACATTGGCAGTTCATTTTCTCTTCATATATTGATCTTTATATTTACTTGAGCATAAAACCAAAAATGAGAAAAAGAAACATACCCGGTTGTTTCGGTAAAGCTTCAGTCTGTCCTGTTCGAATTTTCAACATGTGTTCTACCATTGGCCTCTCCTGATCAATTTGTCTCATCTCATCCATACTTTTCATCGCAGCAAGATGCAAACGATTTAAAATCAAATCTCGCTAAAAAAGGAAAAACTATAAGTGTAAAATTTTAAAACTAATAATACACAATTAGTTCCTCTCTTCAACATTTATTACTTGCTACTGTTCGTAATTCAAATTTCCTGTAATCCTATTTTATTGAGTTGCCATCTATTTCAGTGGATAATCAGTTTGATTAGCGATCTTCCCTCTTTGCCTAATACTTTTCATATAGTAGTAAATTAAAAGTCTAAACTAACGCATCAAAGAAATCCGTAAATATCAGAATCCTTCATCAAAGTAACTTCTATATACAACCATACTAACCATTAATTCATCATCATCTGCATTTGAATACAACTGGGATTCCGAATTTTCCACTAATTCTTCTAGCTCCTTTTCCTGTTGAAATCGTCGCAATTTTAATTCCCTCTGTTTAGATAGATCGATATCATGTCTCGATTTTTCTGTTTCCTTTCCTTCATTATCTTCGCTTACTCCCAACAAGTCAGAATCAATAATATTGTATGCCCTCAACCTTCCCAAAAAGTCTTGTAAATATATCTGAAAATGTACCTTACACAAATAATCATGTTTATAAACATGACTTAGCGACAAGAAAGGTTTCCATTCATTCAATAATAGCATACGTATAAAAAGAAATAAGAGGAAAGAAGTACAAAAAGAAACTTTCAAATGTCTTTAAAAAGCAATAAAATGTAAAATTCAAAACTTATCACTTTTTGATGGTTAAATTTGTTAAAACTAGAAATCAAAAATCTGCGTATCCAAAATTTTCCTATTTTTCTCGGCCTAAATTATTCCGGATGTGGAGAAAAACGAAACTGAATCTTGCATTCATGTTTTAAGGGAAAGATTTAAAAGAAAAAGTTAACCTTTGCGCGATCCAGAGATGAAAGACGCTCCTCCGGTCCAACGATAATACTTTGTGTAACTTTAGCCAAATAATACGGTAAAAATAAATAATTCAAAGAGCTAGTGGGCAATTCATCAAAACTTTCGTTATTACTGAATAACGAAAGAGCAGATACTTCCTTTGTCAAAAGTTTTAACTTCTCTTCACACTGTTTCAACTGATCCTGTAATGTCCATCTTAATAATGACCTTATCGAGATGAAGACTAAATATTTCACAGTCTTTTTGCATATGGTTACACTGAATCACTTAAGTTAACAAAAATAAATCACAGTTATCAATCACACCTGTGACCTGAGGTTTAATCTAGATTTTTGATTTCACCTGTAAATCCTTTGTGCTTTGCTTTCCACTTTCCAACTGCTTGATGATACCTTCGCAAAATTCAAACTCATGCCGCAGTGAAATATCGTTTCGTTCGATGTCACTCATGATAGAATCGGTTTCTGTAAACTGACTTTAAACATTAACGATCCGAAAAAATTACATATGATAAAAGCTAAATCTCTTACCAAAGCCGCCTCTCTCACTCTGATATGCACGAATACTTTCATATGCTCACGTAACACACATCACTATCACAGGACTGCACTACATCACCTCATCCCCTAATTTTGACATCCATCCCGAAGCTCCCCTACATTCTCTTCTCATCCATCAGTACTATTCCTGGTTCATCACGATGACAGCTTTTTCTGCATGCTTGGTTTGAAATAGAAATGTTGTAAATAGAAGCAGTGGTGTATCAGATCGAGTAATGTTAAGGTGGGAGAAGCGGGCGTTGCAAGCAGCTGCGTTAATCGGCATAAGCGTATATCCTAGCGCTTTGATGGCATTTCATAATGGGATGTAAGTCTTAAACTAATACTGATAGAGTTATGGAAAAAGGATAGTTTGGCAGGTCAAGAATTTTTGGAATTATCAAAGCAATTTTTTGAATTTTTAATGCAGTGTGTAGTTTAGTTTTATATTAGAAAGGATTTAGAACTGTACAATTCGTAAACTTTACTCTTCTCTTACCTCACTGATCAGGGAATAGGGAATAGTGATGTCATAAATAGTTTAAAATATTGCTTGTTAGCATTAGGATACATATTATTAACGATCTAAAGGTTATTGGCTATAGGCTATAGAAGCTAAGTCTAAGTTTGGATGTAAAATAAATCGGAATGTATATCATGGAAAGTTTTATTTCCCAATTTTTTGATTTTTTTCTGGAGGGGAATGTTTTATAAATAAATTACATCAAAAAATCTATGCATGATAGTACTTTTTTTCTATTGCTTCTTATTGATAATTTTCAATTAAGAATTGACTTCGAAAAAAGGACTATCGTTTACGATGTTCCTGATGAAACTGTGGACATGGTGGAAAGTGAACTGGACAAATTAAAGAATTTACTAATGAAAGCAAGTGTAAGCAGTTCTCATTCATTTGCTTCATTTAATTCTTAACAAAAATAATCCCTACTCTTGTATGTTACTAGCTGTGACAATTTGAACATGTTGCTTTATCCAAATTTCATTCGATTGAAGCGCGGTGTTTGCATTCAATACGAGAAATTTAATATCAAAGAAATTTGAATTAAATAAAGGAAACAAATTTGGTCTTGCAAATAAACTTGCATAAGTGTGTATTTAGTTACTTCGAAGTAATCTGCTTAGTTTTCCTCTAGGCCAACATTGCCGTGACTGATTCACTGAATCCAGAATGGCGTGGAGGTTTTTATTTTAAAAATGGTTTTGAACTATTATTACCTTTACGTGCTGTAGCGAAGAATTTATCCGAATTGCCAAAAATGAATCAGATAGTTAGTATAAAAAGGAATGATTTCTTTTCAAGGTTTGTGCTAATTTATAAAAATTTTTCTCTCGATGCAGAAATGTGCGATTGCTTGTTTTTCAACTCTTGAATTCATCTTTTCTCATGATATGACGAAACTTTTTGCATTATTTAGGGCGTCTTGTGAAATCTCTGTATATAGGTAAAGGTTAACGAAGTATTTTTTTATTTAATATATATAAATGAGGGCTAATTTTGCAAAAGTTGCAGAATTTTTCCATAATGACTGAATGAGTCACTTTTTTTTCTGTCACATGTACAAATTCCAAGTTATAGCTGCTTTAATTTATAGCAAAAGGAAATTTTTGGATACTACAACAGATATTGGGAAGCATATATTTGATCAGTATTTTCTTTCAGACGCAGCTCGACGCTTTCTTATCAGACGCGAGTTGCTTAGAGCTAATAGGTATTAAAGATTCAGTATCATTCATCACTTATATCCTCTTTTTAGCAATAATTTGTGCTTCTAAAAAATCTTAAAAAAAAGCTCAGTATTTTTATTTTTCAGTTCAGCATGTTAAGGCTCAAGATATTTTTAACAATCTCTAACATTTTATTTCGAATCATGTGAGCAAGATTTAATTTATCTAGTTGTTTGAAAATAATTAGACCCAAGTTCACTGAGCATATTTTTTTCAGCCGCCGATTTATTTTGGTACCCCTTTCCATGTGGATTTTGTTATCATGTGTTGTATGTTTATCCTTCATATCCTTAATGCGTTATGGTCGCATCGCTTCATATGGTTCGTTGGCAGTGTTGATACCGTTGGCAGCTGTTTGTTTTCTGAATGCTATGAGAAACTTCTTCACATATAGTGAAATGATGTTAGACTACGATGCTTGTGCCAAGTAATTTTTATTTTGTTTCTTCTTTACAAAAATTGCAAGTAAGAGATGCATGCTAGAATGTTGTGCTGAATCATACATATTCTTGTACATCTTTCCATCGTACATTTCCTGGGGAAATTAATTGTGTAAGCTTAATAGTGGTCAGACTTCTTCATCCCTATCTGTGTTGATCCCTCTTTGTGTTGAATCATCCCTATCTGTGTTGACCACCATTTGATGAATGATAATGATGAAGTATTAAGTTAAATAACTGCACAATCATATTTCTGTTTGCTGTAATATAGATTCCAAAATATTGGGAAATCCTATACTTTTACAGCAACGAGAAAGTAATTCAATGAAGAAGTCATTTTCATAAAAAACTGATACGCTGAAAAATCAAATCAATTCACTTGTTAGATCATTTCAAGTTATATAACAAATCATGTTTTAGTGCTTAAGGGATTATTTAATTCTAAAGACTTTATTCCAATTTCAGTTCTCCGGAATATATAGAAGGAGCACGGCAGTATTTGAACTCATCAATTGCAACAAATTTAAGGATACGCAATGCTCTAGGTGATGTGCAGTCCGATTTTATTGCAGCGAACGGTGATAGTGTCGGTGATTTATGGTCTTATTCGAAGCGATTGAAAGCTATTGAAAAATTAGCTGCAGAGCAGTCTCAGAAAAAAAACTGTATGACCAATAACTCACATGAATAGATTTAATGCACCAGATATTTTTTCTTTTCAAATCGTTCATAGAAAGTTGGCGAATAATGCCTTGAAGACAATGTAGAGACTGCCATATAACTTCACTTCCTAAAAATTTTTGCATCTAATGAATTAATTACTTTTTAGGCTGTAAAAAATTGCAAGATCTCATCTTGCCTAATATGTACTGGTTTAGTTGCTTTTCCATACGATAGTAGCGTTTCAATAGTTCACAGTACGCATTCTTGCCTCTTCCTCTACTAATATTATTTTAATATTTTACTATATATCTGTTGTTCATTTATTAATTTTACTTTGTATTCGTTTGTTCTATCCAAGAACTTTTTTAATGTTGGTTAATGTTGAACATGTTGTTACATTATTAGTTTGTTATTTATGGCAATCTTCAGTTTTGCGGATTTATGATCTTTGTTAAAATAAAATGAAAAATATGTTAATAAAATTCTGTTTGTCATTTTCTAGAAAGTTATCTATTCACAATAGCTTTTAATTAACTGCTTCTATAGTTACTTCCATATCATTGTGTGCAACGTTTGGATTTTCGGAACAGTAAATTAGAGCTAATGAAATTATCTTCGCATGTATTTTTGTTACAGTTCCTGTTCTGATCGATGAGTGCAGAATTTTTGTGGAAGATAAATAGGCAGTGGGCACGACGTATACGTGTTGGTGTAATTGCATCAACGGTAATATCTGTTCCATCCATATATTTATTAGCAAATGGACCATATTTAAAGGAATATTTTGAGAAACGATACGATGTCTCAAATGTGCTACCTAATCATTTACAACAAATTATTGATTCAGTAAGATTGTTCAAAGATTTTAAGTAGATCAATTAGACTGATTTATTGTGAATTCAGTTGTATATTTGATTCATTTTCATATAATTAATATTCCAATATCCATCCTTCACTCTTATTTTTTGATTTTATATATTTCTCTAATGAAATATTCTGTAATAGCTGTTGATCGCTTTATTCTTGGTGTTGTGATTATATATTACTATTACTGCTAACCTTTCACATAATCTTTTGATTTCGAGGATATCATATTCTAATCATAGATTTAGTTTCTTTGAATTGTATAGTGTATATGTTTTACTCTTACATTTAATGGAAAATATTTATTTTACTGAATCGATATTGCAACAAGAGATTAAATATTGCAGGAGTATGAAAACTTTCTGATGTCGGATGATCGAATACGAAAAAAAAAACGAATCACTTTTTATTGTTCAACTTCGGAAAGTAGGTCATCATCTGATACTAATATGTGAAAAAAAGTTGGTTTTCAGTAATTTCTTCTGGAGTAACAAGTCCCGTTTTAATGCTTCCGGTGACATTTTTGAATAATCTAATTTTCATGCGTCCAAGCTTATCTCCTAACCTTCTGATTTTACTTTTCCAAATTCAGAGTACTAGAATATTTGCAGTTGGAATTAAAATAACATTTGGAGATGCTTTGCATAATCCAACTGTAAATCAATTGTTATCGTGTTGTAATTGAACTGGAATCAGCGAATATTTTCAGCGTATTTGGATTCAGTAACACATGGAGCCCTGAATAGTCCTTGGGGTGCCCGGACAGCTCTTCCATTTTATGCGCAATTTCGTACGTTTAGCGAAGCTTATGATTACTGCAAGAAAAAATTGGAACCAATGTTGTACATGGGTGAGCAAGCATGCGTCATTTGGAATTCAGATGTTGGTCGGCAGATAATTGAAACGTTCGTTCTCAGCGAAGATGTTGGTGTATTTTGTTTACAATTAGACATCTTCATCGGTATCCTTTTGAGACAAAAAAAGCGTGGGGATTAAGAATAAATTTTTGTTTAGTGAATCTATCGTAATAACTTTTGATAGCGCTTTCAAGGGCTGTCATTAATTTTTGTTTGCCCTTTCTTTCATTGGTAAGAATGATATTTTTTTTTTGCAATTGTATGCTTGTTGTATACGTACATATTTGTTTATCTTCTTACGCACGGATATGCATGCGTGCACATATGTAAGATGTAAGTGTATACGTTATTTATCACCTTTTAACAAAGAGTAAAAAAAAATAATCTAATTTTCTTTTAAGAAGAAAAGCTAAAATAAACAATTCATAATTTTTTACAATTTCATAATTTATCATTGTAGGTAAATTTTAAAAATAGATGGATGTAAAGGTGTAAGAGAGGGGTGTAACATGACCAAAAAAAGAATGTAAAATAAAAATTTTAATTTAAAAATGTCACTGCTTTATTGGAAAGCGATTTACTTTTTTGCTACGGATGTGCTAAGTTCATAATCTTTCAGGCTTTAAGATTTCTGATACGACGCGACTTGACGGCACATGAAGCTATAAAAAGAACGGCTTTATTTGTATTTTACTGGTTCTGTTATACGAGTATTGCTTTTATGCTAGCACAAATCATAGTACATTATTATTTTACTAGCAATGTGCTATGGTTTTGTGGACTGTCCCTTGCTCTGAATACACCGGCATGCTGGGGCAGTGTACAGAATGCTAAACTTGATTGGTGAGTTTATGAAGCAGTCACTAACATTTCGTCCTTTTCAAACTCCAACTTCTTTATATTGAACCAATTCGAAGTCGTTCAACTTTCAAAAAATTAGATTAATTTAGCATTTTAAAAGAATCTATTTATTTCTTTTCATCTATAATAAAAAAAGTGTATCAGTCTAAATTTTTAAGGCATGCTACCGACCAATCAGCTGATGTTGATGCTGCTCGTGCTTCGTTGGTACATGGCAGGGGTGGTAAAGAATATTATCAAAAAATGTTGAAACGAAATCGGTAGTTTTTTTAATCATGGTTGAATGAAGGATAAGTGCTGTTCTTTAATTTGAATTGTTAAAATAATGCTTTCTCCACCAAAAAAAACACATTGGCACTTTTCGTCTCCCATACTTCTTTTTTGTTTTTTGAGCAACTTAAACACTTTTGCCGAAAGAACATACATATGTACATTTATTTATGATGCACATATTTTCATTAAATGACACATAAGCTTTCTACTGACTTATTAGTAGAATACGCAATATTAATTGTACTACTAATTGTTTGCAAAAGCCTGAGGAGAATTTCTTTCATGACAAAGATCCTTAGTGATAGTTAAGGTCTAGTAAATTAATTTGCATGATCAAATATATGCTGAATTTTTGTAAGCAACAATTTTACTACATTGCATTGAAATGCCAACAGCAAAAATGAAATGCATTGATGAAATTGGCAGATAATAAAGATGCTTCTCAATACAAATAAATTTGCAGATTATTACGAGAGATAATCCGTGATGGTGTAAAGAAAGTGTCGGTTGTAGGCAATCCAAACAATTCCAATACATCGTACTGGTCACGATATACAACACTGGTAGATTTAGATGCAGAAAATAAGTTATTGGATAAAATAAGTGCTGCTGGTGATTCATGATTGTGATTACATAAAAATTTATGAGTAATGGACATCATGTGATTGATGAGAAAAATAGTAGAAATATCTCCTGAGAATTTCTGTTTAATTTTTAGAGATTCTTGCGTGTTCATTCGTAAATCACATACGGTTATATAGTATTGCTTCACTATTGAGTACTACATTATAGTTGATCCAAAATGTCACCAATTTTCTTACTTTTTTTGATGCTTTTTCTATATTTTATGAAATGTTACTCATCATCAGATTATTTCAATAATTCATCATTCACTTGAATATGACAAGTTTGTTAATTAATGTGATCACTTTCATGCATAGCTCTAATTGTACACGTTGCCATGCATTAATTATGTTATCATTTTAATATTGTGCTGCAATTTTCCTTGAAAATGTATTAAACTTTTAAACATTTCGTTTATCTTGTATTTTCATTATTTTTCTTTTAATTTTCAATTATTTTGAATGATTTCTAATCTTTCACCCCAATTTGAAATTCTTTTTGTCATGAAATATAAATAAATATTTGCTTACCTTTAAACACCTGCTTTTGTACTGTGATTTCATAACGTTTATGTCGATGCATTTTTTCTTTTATCTGAATCATTTTAGTGTGCAGTTAAATTACTTAATACCAGTTAGATGATCCACAGCTATTGTGGGATAAGTCACTTCTCGAAAACTCAGTGAGGCAGAACAAGTTCTCCAGGATTTCAGGATTTATTGGGAATGGATTTGCAAAAGGTGTCTAATACGGATAAGGTGATACTTTGTAAGCGTTATTTTTATATTGGCTTTGCTTTGTTACCGCTAGTTTGGATCGTTAACGCAGTGTGGTTTTTCGAGTCTGCATTTCTCGATAAACCATCACCGACGCAAAAAACTATCAAACGATGTGAGTTTTACATTTAATATTTAAGGTATTCTTTTAAAAAAATTTTTTATATGCAAAATTGACTTTAGCCACGAATTTTGGCAATAAATTACATATTGAAATATCTAATTTATGAAAATGGAAGAAATCATTTACATAATATATCGAATACGTTGAATATACGTTGAATGTACGTCGAAGTATTCAATATTCAAATGTGAGTGGAATATTTTAAGCGGAGAGAAAAAAGGGAGGAAAAAACGGAACTGTTGAGAAAATTTGAGATTATTATTCACTAGATGTTTCTAGCTGAAATATGGAAATTCTAGGGCTTGACTATTTGGTTCCAAAACATAACAGATTTAAGAATCAGCTTTAAGAGATTTAAGAGTTCTCATCCATTTCTGATTATTGAGCAATTGATCACATGGGTACTTATGCTTCACTACTTATGAAAATTGTCAAACTTCTAAGTTTATTATTTGCTATTTTCAGATGTGTTGTATTCAATAATTGGTGCATCAGTATGGGTACTAGCACTTATTGCCTGGGAAATATTTTTTCAGTTGGAAAGAGCCAAAGGACTGGAATGGACTGATCGATTGTCTTTTGTATTTCCTATAGGATATGTTTAAAAAAGTGCTTGACCATTATTTAATGTATTTTTATGTATTTTTAATGTTAGTTATCATTCTTTCATCATTTTTATTGTGTTGAAGCAAATTTCATGATTTATAACTCCCAATACTTTTTTGTACTTATATAAAAATAATTTTTCAATATATTTTTTGTAAATGTTTAATTAATATTAACGGAAATCACTCAGCTGAAGCCGAACTGCTTTATTGCTATAGAAAAAATGTTCATGTTCAAAAGCCATAGAAAAAAATGTTCAAAATTTTATCTTTGTGTCCTTTCCTTTCATTACGGAAAGTAATGGTCCTTCGCTTTTGATTAAAGATGATTATAAGTAATGGTCTTCCGTCATGCCAAGAAGCCTTTTCAACTGATAAAATTTTGAAGGTTTGAACAAATTAACAAATAGAAAGTTTCAAACAGTAGCAATCATATGCATTGTTTAAAACATTGGAAATTTTGGCTTGGTGGTGTTGTTTCTTTCTATTATTTCATTCTCAGTTGCTCGTATACCTTTTTCAGTTCGTTATTCTACCAAACTTTTCAACCGGGAAATTAGTCCATGAATTATTATCGTATACTGAAAAGTGCATTTTCATTTCGTGCATTACCATTTGTTATCACTAAAAATCTGCAATATATCTGATAATGTATCAAGATGAATTAAATTTAATAATTCAAATTTTTGTTGCAATTATCTTGAACATCGTGCTTTGAAGAATCAAATGAAGAAAAAGAGCATGAAGAAGAAAAAATGAACCTCATCTATGTGGAACAAACATGTTGACATTTGCATTAAGATTGATATTACTGATTAGTTATCAGCTCATTGAACATCAATTTAGCATTGTCTCTCACTCTTTCTCCAGAAGCGGAGAGCGAGAGACTTTTTTTATTATTCATTGAAGCAACTAGCAATGGTATCTTGCAAATCATTTCTCTATTCATTTGAAAAAAATTTCTTCTGCAAAAAAATTGCATTTTTCTAATAGCTACGGTAAGTCATAGCTTCGGTTTACATAGCTTAAGAAATATTTGATTCATCTAATCATCAATCTTTTGAAATCGAATGTTTTATAGATTGATGGAAAACGTGGTATTGCATTACCTATAATAATTGTCACAAAAGAAAATTCCTGTATTAAAGAAAAGATTTTTTTACTGAGCAAAAAATATTTAGTTTATTGTTTAGTGATACACAAAGGCTATATGGAAATTTATTTAAATTGTGCAAATATTGTTTATAGCAAACATATTTATAAATTTTCCAGAAAATTTCCATTGTTTCCAGAAACTATTAGTAGCATCATTCTGTTATAATTAACTATGAAGCTTTCATTGAATTATCTTTTTTTTTTCCAAAAAATACATCGATATGTAATGCTAATGATGCAATTATATTGTGAGTGCCGATCTTTCAATGACAAAATAAATTACGA